AAGTAGAATCCAACTGCAAATAACATAGACCAAATTACAGTTAACATTGGGTGCCCCGAGTGGCCAAGTGGTCTAAAGCGCTGTCCGTTACGGATCACTGCCATCTCACCTCTGTCTTCGTGGTCTATGTGGATATGTGAGAAAACTTGCCATTAGCTTCTCGTGGGTCGGCGGTTCTTTCCTGTGATTTCCCGGTTTCTTCCCCGACCATTAATACTGGCCACCATGAATAGCCTATCGTGTGCTGAAAAATGGCGTTAAGCCCAACAACAACAACAACAACAACAACAACAGTTAACATTGTATAATGCACCAGCACATAAGGGTCATTGTTGTTTGTAATACTGATTACTCCTGTCAAACTGCAGAGAAACTGATCTGCCAGTCTCTTATGCAGCAGTGGATCAGGGTTTGTGCATTTAGCAGTTGGACTTGACTCGTAAATGTTGTATGTATCAAGGTTAAAAACAATACACAGTATAATTTGCTATGTATTTCATTATTTTGCTATTATGTGAAAAATCGAGTAGAAAATATGTTTGCTAACGAGTTTTAAGTGAAAGCACCACCAAAGACTTTTTCATCTTGGTAAACCATTTTGCTAGCAGATCAAAATGTAGATAGCAACAATTTTCTACCTGCTGTTCATGTCTACATCTAGCCTTGTGTATGTATAATCTTAATTTGTGTAAAAACTACATCTTAATAAGTTCTTCCATGCATATATCGTTTCAGTCCCAAAGCATTTCTCCGTAGTATTGCACTGGTGAAGTTTATATAGTAGCTAGTACATTTAGTAGGGTTTATATTTGTTATGTTAACGTTATAGTGAATTCCTAGGGCATTTATATTTCAGGTTTACTGTTAGGGTACTTCATGATAATCTTGAAGAATTTATTCATCTCTTTCAGTACTCATCTTTGTAGATGGAAAAGCACAATTAATGATACATGTACATAAAACTATATCAAATAAAACTAACCATCAGAGTTTCAAAACAGCACTAAATCCTTTTACAGAATTATGAACACACATATTTAGAAATGTTATTTATAGATTTAATCACTTATACACTATTTGCCATGTCATTTAAATATATGTTGTAGCACGGTGTGGTAATTACTATAATTCCCATTAGTCCACAACTACCTTCATGCCAGTTTACTTATTGCACATCTTAGTTGTCAGTTCTATTACTGTTGACCATACTCGTCTTTAATGACTGGTCTGCTTCTATTTAATATGTTCAAATTTCTACTGTAGGCTCTGCTTCAGTTCACTACGCTCTGTCTATAATGTCTGGTCTTCTTCTGCTGACTATTCTCCATCTCTAATTTCTGGTCTGCTGCCTGTTCTCCATCTCTAATGTCTGGTCTTCTGCTGCCTGTTCTCCATCTCTAATGTCTGGTCTTCTGCTGCCTGTTCTCCATCTCTAATATCTGGTTTTCTTTTGCTGACTGTTCTCCATCACTATTGTTTGGTCTTCTGCTAGCTATTCTCATTCACTAATGTCAGGTCTTCCAATTATCACTATTTCAACTTTTTTCACATAGAGATTGTGTTGTAAAGATTTTCATACATGCTTCAACAGCATTGCTGACTCGTTACTTAAAAAATAAATTTGGACCAAATGTGGAAATGTTATTGCAAGAATTTATATAGCTAGAAAACTTCTATTGTGTAAAGGCTCAGTCAACAAGGACTTGTGCAATTACTGTCAGTTGGCTTGCAGTCTGATTGGTCAACAGTTGTCAGGTCAGCTTTCCTTGATCAGACTTAGTAAGGTTGGTAAATTTTCCGTCAGAGTTTGCTTTTTTATTTCCATAAATGTAAAAATATTAACTGATTTAAACATTTGGTAAAAGAAAAATTCATAGCATCAAGGGATTACTCATTAGGTATCTTTTTTATTTTCAGCAAGAATCATTGATAGTCTTGTTTTGAAGTTAAAATTTATTTATGTTACTTTGATAGAATACCAACTTCTACTGGACATTTTACCACTAACTTCTGGGGCCCCAAGTGGCAAAGTTTTCTAAAGCGCTCACCATTATGAATCATTGCCATCACGCCTCTGTTTGCATTGGTTTTAGTCTCAGGTTTGGCCAGTGTGTGGGTATGTGAGAAAGCATGCCAGTTACTTCTTGTGGGTTGGTGGTTCTTTCAGGGGTTTTCTGGGTTCTTCCTCCACCATTTATACTGGCCACCATCTATAGCCTGTCTTGTGCTGAAAAATGGCGTTAAACCCTACAACAACTATAACAACCACTGACTTCATCCCATCCCCAGCAACTACAGCTGGACATTTACTACCACTATCCCCTTTTTTCCTCTCCGGCAACTCAAGTTGATATGATGGGGGGAGGTGCAATTAATATGCTTTTTTTTTATAAACAATCATGAAGTCCCCTCTTTAGTTTTAAATGTTTGTTCAACAAAACAATTTGTAAGGTCTTGCTGCAAGCACAACCACATGACAGTGAACTGGAGATTCAATGGTTCATTTTGTTTTCAATAATTAGCTATTTTTCAATGAGACTGATTATCTTCTCCATCATCCTCATCCTTGTGCTAGTCTTGCTGTATTAAAAAGTAATTTACAAGAAAGATTATGACAGTAAATGTTTCTAGTGAACTGAAGAAGAAAAATGCAGGACTGATAAAATCCCATAGCCAAATGTGTCATTTAGTTACATAGAAGTCTAAAGAATTGGTTTTGAGTAGTACCCATAGGTTTAAGACCTTAAAAATTAAACGTGTACAATATAATACTCATTATGACATAGAGTAAAAAAGGCACTTTATGAGGTTGTGTTTACAGTTGAATAATAACCATATCTACATGGTTATTAGTCCAAAACACTGGTATATATATATATATATATATATATATATATATATATATATATATATATATATATATATATATATATATATATATATTAAAACAGCTGGTTCTGTTAGGAATTGATTTTTCTACTAAACTGAATAGACTACTTTCTTGTCCTGCCACCAGACTTGTTCCTGGAATTGATTTTTTTTTTTTTTAGAAAATTCCAGACTTGTTCTGCAATTCTGACTGGTATTCAGAACTTTTGACTGGCGAATATCAGGATAATTATCTCAAACACAGAACGTGTAAGTTTTGGGGAAGATTCATTTCTTAGTATGTATACAAAGCTTTATCCATATTGATATTTATTTTTGCCCATTCAGATTAAATGTATTCAGTTGTACTACATTAGTTGTACTACATTAGTTGTAACAAAAACTGTATTTATATGTAATCTCATTTAGAGGAAGTGCCAAAAATCATATTTATACTTGTGATAATTTCAGTTTTTATCTTATATTCTGTATGTATACAAGTTTTGTACTTTGTAGAACAGGATTCAGAAAGTCTGTGTACAAGCCTATTCTGTTTTCTCATGCAGATGAAATGTTTTCGTCATTGTCTGTCTGCAGAAGATTTTAAAACTTTGTATATAACACAACATCCTTAAGGATGCTTAATAAATTGAAATTGCTAATAAAAAAAAAAGCACCAAAAATTTTTTTTTTTAGTGCCAAGTCGTGTGAAATTCTTTGCAAACTGTTTATTAATCTTGTCATAATATGTATCCTTTTTGGTACATAAAGATGTAGCTATTATGGTATATAAATATATAACCATTATGGTATGTTAGTATATAACTATTATGGTATATAATTATGTAACCATTATGGTATATAAATATGCAACCATTATGGTATATAAATATATAACCATTATGGTATGTTAGTATATAACTATTATGGTATATAATTATGTAACCATTATGGTATATAAATATGCAACCATTATGGTATATAAAGATGTAACCTTTATGGTATATAAATTTATATACTGTATGGTTTTATTTTATCTACCATAGTAGATAAAGATATAACCATTATGGTATATTAATTTTGTCCTTATTGATTAGTGTTATACTTGTCATACTGTAGATCTGTTTTTGTTACAATCATTAAAAGGCAAATTATATATTTAAATTATCTTTATCAACAGGTTTGTACACAGTTCATGAAACAGTACTTTTTGATTTGGAAATATTCATCATAGTGGTGATTTAACTAGTTTTGAAAATGTTTGATTTACTCATTTTAGTTAGGGAAGTATAAATGAATCTTGTGGAAGACTACAAATGTACACAACTGGATTACAACAAATGTACATGACTCTAGTTGAACACTAAAAATGTACATGACTGTACAAATCTTTTCATTGATTTGGCTTTATCTGTATTATAATAAAATGCATGTAATCTTTTCCAGGCTAATTTTTTGTCTACTTTTAAGCACACTAACATGGGGAAATTCACTGTTCTACATCTTGAAAAAACTTTAGAATATTTTCTTGTATATATCATGTACATGAATTTTAACATTACATGGCATGAATAGGTAAGATATGTGCCTACTCATACCTGACCATCATTTGGCCTTATTGATTTGATATTTGTAAGTTTTGCATTAGGAAATGTTCACCCCCCAATAGCAAATTTAGTATTTTATAAAATAAAGCCATACAAAATTTTTGTAGACTTGCTTTTTCATTGATTAAGTTTACTGTACATGTAGATGCAAGGTGATAAATCACTTTGTAGTCGTTTAGCAAGTTTGTTTGAAATGTAGTTGCATATTGAATACTCAAGTTTGTGAATTATTATTGTAGTACTGAAGAGTGAATCTTAAAACCCAGTTCCTTTTCCATCATTGGTTTGTGTGTGATTTAGATTTTTAACATAGCTTTTAACCATTTTTCAATCATATCGCTATGATATCTGCAGTGTGACAGTTTACAGTGATGTCTAGCACTGGAGCATCATGCCACAGACATGTTGCACAATATCCCACCCAATCATATTATCCTGACACCAGGCTCACCAGTCTAACTCTAACCTCTTAATGCTGAGCGCCAAGTAAAGCAGCTGTTTGTACCAACTTTAAAGTCTTTGGAATGACTTAGCCAGGGTTTGAACCCGTGACCTCCCGCATCCGAGGTGGACACTCTAACCACTAGGCCACAGGAGCAGCCTTTCCATCATTGAAAGAATGTGTTTAAAACTTGGGAGCTGTGTTCCATAAGAAACATAAGGATAACATCTGATAATACTGAAGGACTTGTGGTACTAATTCAGTTCCCATAGTAAACCTATGCAAACACCATATTAAAAATTCAATAACTTAAAATTTCCAAGTGGTCATGAACAAATCTATATTTATCAGAATTGATGAAACTTGGAAGACAGCTTCTATTTTGAGAAAAGGATACAAGCAGCTGCATTTTTTTTTCTGTGTTTGAAATGTGCTTTTAATTCTGCACTAAAGATGATGGCACTAATTTCAGTAATATGTGCACCAAACTCAAGACTGTTAAAGGACTGAAATTCCATCAATAAAACAATTATATATTTTTCAATTACAACTAGGATAAGCTCTCAAAAGATTCTTTTTCCTAGAAAATAACTTTCATTATCAACCAATCCTGGCCAGCCAAACCCATTTATAGTCTATTTTATGTTTAGACATTTCCAGACTGGTTCCCATTTTTCCATACAGTTAGTAGCATGTGACTTGTAGGTTAAAAATTTTACAGTATTTATAGGTTACTGCATTTGTATGGGAAAATACGAACAAGTTTTTCAGATGGAATTACTGCAGTAACCTTTTTATTATATGCTCATTTTTCTTATCTACCTAAGGCTTAAATATATAAACAAAAATACACTTCAAAAAACAAAGTAACTGAATGTATGCCATATTTTAAACTATATACACAAGCGCAGATTCATCATTACTCAACATTATTAATGTGCACATAACTCCAACCAGATAAATTTGAACTTAGTCGCTCACTAGACATAACTTTAGAAAGAAAATGCCATTTTGGTCTACTTAAAATTGAAATTTGGAGCAACATTGTGAGTGAATGTGCATTGCAACAACTTTTCCATTTCATCTGGAATTAATAGATTTTTGTATTTTTGTTGATTATAATGTTTATTTCATTTTGAGTGCAGTAAGAAGGATATAATTGCACTTGAAATATAGTCAAAACTACAGTATCATTTCAAAATGTGTAATGAAGCTTTAGAATCTATGACATGGCTCGTGTAATTCGGATTTGTAGAACTTAGAAACATTTTGTGGAAATTTAAGGTGTAAAACTGTTATATTTTTGCTGTTCTTATTGCCAACTAAAGAAGACGATTTAAGCCTTGTCACTTGCATGTTATTTGTAAGGACTGTTTCTGGCGTTTATAGCTAGCCTAAATTCGAAGCATTGTATCAAAAAGGTTAACGCGGAATGTGCCAAAGCAGCTTGTATGCTCAGTCCACAAAACATCTGCTTTAGTTCATTCAGAACAAATTTAATCAACCAAAACTTAAAGCGTCAACTATGAAAGTGTACACGATTTGTTTACAAAATAGTTTCTCATACACCATTGGGCGTACGTGAGTGTAATATGAAGTTGCGTGCGAGTGCAATATTGTAAAATATTGCATGATTCTGACGATGTAAAGTTAACGGAGACAAAAATGAGCATATAATAAAGGCTATTATTGTATGTCATTATGTAGCAGCAGCTATCAGAAGAAGCTGATGATCATTTCTATGATGAAATTCCAGTGTACACTGATCTTGTTCCTGGATAAACTGTCAGTAATCAGATTTTAAAAGTGAGAATTCGCATAACTATTCAGACATTCTTCGGTCATTTTCCTTTAGTAAACCAAATTTATAACTGAAGTTTACAAAAAGTAAACTGCATAATACAGTGAATTATATACAAGAAAAAGCTTGATGCAGCGATTGCAGATTACCATTACACGGGCTATCTAAAAAAATAATATCTAAAAAAATAATAAGATTTTTGATGGGGAATAGTGAATATTTATTCCTTATATGTACATTATACATGTGCACATTAGAGATACACGTACATAAGAGCAAATACATGTACATTAGAGAAGACACGTGTAAATTAGAGAAATGTGTGTACAATAGAGTAGACAATATACATCAGAGTAAACACTTGTACGGTATAGTCCATTGTGTGTATATTAGACATGCATATTAGGGTGGACTATATTAGAGTAGATATGTTTGTTAGAGTATGCAAGTATACATTAGAGGTGATGCATGTACATTAGAGTAAATATATGTACATTAGAATCGACACATGTACTGGTGAGTAAATGCATGTACATCAAATATGTTCTCTACAGTAGACACATGTACATTAGAGTAAAGGCTACTCAGAGTTGACCTACATTAGGGTAGATAAAATGCACATTAAATGAGATGCATATACATTAGATTTATGCAATGTTGAGAGAAAACTTATTTGAATAAAGAATATTTATATTTTCTATTGAAGCTGTAGCTTCTAGAGGAGGTAAAAATATTTAATCTTATTTAACAAAGTCATCATTGGGAATAGAGCTAATTTATACTGCACGAAGTTCTATGCTATTATCTGACATTTTTATCCTTTTTATACTTCATTGAAGGCTCACGGTATGTAAGACGTTGACGTTGTCAAAAGGGTTCAAAGGTATTAAATGAAATTGACAGTATTCTTGTTTTGAAATCTATCATTTTTTTTTCTAACAGGAAATAACTGTCAGAAGAGTTCATGCTTTTCCTGTTTGAAGATACACCATAGCCTTTCAATTAAGCTAAGAAGAATATGACATTTTAAGATGCATCCTCTCCAAGTTTTACAAATTATCATCCTCAAAGAAAGAGTCCCTTAACAGGACCAAATGCTCTACTAGTTAAGAAGACTTGTCACTCCTGGTTAGCCTAGATGAGACATAAATGTCACGTTTCTGACGGTGGCATTGTCATTTGTATTGGCTGTGGTGGCAATGTAGGTTACAGCAAAACGTGTTTGCATTACGGTCGATTTGTCTCACATTTTTGTTATGAAAAATCATGAAACTTGATGATTGTACTTATTTTCACGGGTACAAAAATCGCCACAGACGAAAGTAGGTTACATTAACACAATTTGCACACTCTATGCAGTATTTCAGTTGTATCTACCTGTCACCGTTCTTTAGATATTCTGTAGTCATGAAATTCACCTTGAGTTTCCCTGATTAGATTATACTACCACGCTCTTATATTGCACATTAAAGACAAGGCTTCGGTCTTCCTTAGAGAGATGAGCACCATTTGTAGAACCTTTCTGGAGCTGTATTTTCCTATTATATTGTCACCTGTTGTGGTTATTGACATTGATATGTGATTGCTAACAACATGGTACTGGTCACATCAAAATGGGAAATTTTAGTGTGCTATTATGTTTACTAACAACTGGCTAAGTACTTTAAATAATAATCGTAAAACACAACATTTGTCACGAGGGAAGCGTGGGGGAAGAGAGGGGAAAGTTTGTACACCTATATACATTTTTAAAAAAATGCTGAAATATTCTAGGAAAAAAATCACTAAGCTATATTGCTTCGCTACCCTTGAACAAAATCTTAAAAATGGCACAGACCAAGCTACCTCTTATATTAAATAACATTCACTAGTCAACTTTGCAGTCTAATATATATTTCAGTTTGATTTTTAAAATTTGTATATAATTGTTATGTTTGGTTAACATTTACTTTTCTAAATTTCAATGTTTATTTAAAATTCTATTAGAAATTAGTCTGTCAATGTTTTTGTATTTAAAACATATTTTTGGAATGAAATTATTTCCCATTACAATTAAGTATTCAGTGCATTAAAAAAGTCCTGTGATTAAGGATGATATAACAAATTTTGTTTTTGCGTCTAAAGAGGACCTGGTCTAAAACCTTGCACTCTTTGTGCTACATTAGCACTTACACTTTCAGACAGTTGTTACACATCTTGTTTGCTATGAAATTCAAATGGTTTCGTGTGTAAATTTGAAATGGCATGAGATACGCATATAAAAGTTTGACTAAAATTGGTTATATATAAGTTGTCCTCAAAGGACTCGATTCACAGTTACGTCTTCCTTTTTAATATCCACGAATGTAGTCCTAGTCTATTTTTAGAGCATTTTCCTTTCTCATTTTGGTGGTGAAAAAAAATAGATTTTAGGCCGTTCTTGATAATTGATTTAATTGATATTGTTTATTGTTTATGAGCATTATGGTGTGATTGCATGCATTTGGAGGTGCACAGTGAGGAATGAGGTCATGATATTGATACGGAAGTGAAATCTAAGACCCACTGAACGTTCCTTTATTTATAACCTAGCCTATGATCGAACTGCCAAGAAATTTCGGATAACCTTTGATAAGAGCTTCACAGACAGTCAATCTTTAATGATATTTCAGATGTACAGAGGATTTGTTACGATTTGAAGACATTAGGAAGTTCAGTATTGAGAAAAGAATGTATGGAAAATAATTGTAATACAGTCCAAAAGGTAATCATTATTCCATACCTGGCGCCAAAGTACCGTCATGCCTGGCCAACTGAGTAGGTCACGGAAGATGTGCCTGCAAATCAGGAAGACCAGTCAAGTTTAAGAAATAAATTTGCAGTTGACTCCCCTGCATTAGAACATTCTTAATGGTGAACTTACTCATCCGTATTGGAATCTTTGCTGTCTTAGAGTTGGAAAGAAAACAATTTTATTGTAAATTTTTATTTAATAGGATTTAATACGTTTATTTTGTTTTTGCTGTTGCTTTTTTTTCTTAGAATCCAGACATATAATTGACGTCAACTAAATTGAAATGGCTATTAATAGGTCAATATTTATCAAACACGTAAACGCAGAAAGAATAGAAGTAGACTAAACATAAATGGAAATGAATAGTTCAACATTTAACATGTTTTATCTCTCTGTAGCCAACACAAAACAATGCTCAAGTCTATCATTGTCGACGCCCTCGTCACCGATCCAATTATTCTTAGGTCTCATCGGTTTAACACATGCGAGACAAATCATCATAGAGCAGAATATTCAGGTCAAAATGACGTGCATTTGAGAACGTAAATTGCGAATCTTTAACAACATCACTGAACAATTTGACAAC